TCAGTGGAATCTCTGCCTCTGTAAGGATTGCGTAATCTTTAAGCAAGAATCAGTGCTCATCCTTTTAATTTCCCTTTCAGCATATTTTTCAGCATTTGTTTTCTCTGTTTGTGCCTGAATAAGAAATACGCCCTTAACAGGTATTTTGTTATGGACCTCTTGATTCACAAGCATAGGGAATAAATAAAACATCGCGTGAGCAAAACACAGAAAGAGCTGGACTTAGCTGTTCTATCTAAACGGGAACCATTTTCCAGTCATTAAAGCAAGCCTACAGGCTGAGCTGTTGGAACAATGGCAGCACAAGCACGTTCACCAGCCCGCTCACGGTCACCGAAGCGCTGCTCAAAGGTGGACGCTTGCCACCAAAACCCAGCTTCAGCAAGCCAGCACCCTCAAAGAGGGAAACACGAAGAAGGTCAAGTAGGGACAAGCAAGCACTTTGTCTGGAAACCAGTGAGTGTGTGCAAAGAGCAAACAGGAGAGCAGGCTTTTAAGGAAAACCTCCTGCGAGGCACCAGCCTTTCTGATGACCTTTCAGACGAGCACTGCCCTTCAGACAAGGGACAAACACTTTGGCACCTGCTTTCCTTAAGCCTGGTTTTACCAGGATGCCACCACAGCTCGCGCAGGAGCCGTGCGTTACGAGAAGCGAAGGCGTGCAGTCAGCTCACTTGGCCGGGAACGAGAAAAAAAGGGAGGGCAGCGTGAAAAAACAAAAGGGAGTAAAACAGAAAAGACAAAGCCGACTAGTTTCAAAACCCACTGCAACAAACAAGATTAACCCCCCCAAGCTCGAAGACCAGTGCATCAGACCTAATTTGTCACGGACCCTTCTGTGAACTTTCACTTCTTAGACCAGCACAACATCATCCCCCTCCTACCTTTTGCATTTTAAATGTTACTGCCTCCCTTCATTGTAAAGGCGTAACTCTGCAGCCAAAAGATCACCAGGAAAATCTGGCTCCGTGCAAGCAGCACGCTTCTGTCGCGCTCTGTTTTGACCCACGGGGCAGCCGCGTGAATCCCGGGGCCGTGCCGGGCGATGGTCACAGCACCGGGATCTCAGCCCCCTCTGCTCTGCCCTTCGCGCAATCATCTGTTCTTTCAGGTAATAACGGCTGCTACAAACCCCTTAAATTTTAGACAGAGGCAGGTTAGAAACGCACATCACAAGCAGCTTAAGACGGCGGTAAACACAAGAAGCAGCTCTAACAAATTTCATTTTTATAAAAATAAATACAGGTATTGTTTTAAGTATACTTTGATTTTTTTTTTTTCCCCATGGCTTTTTGAAGTTTGTTTTTCCTGGTCTACTACACATCTCTTTTCCCCTACACAAACACAAAAGAAAAGGCTGCAGAACAGTTTTTGGAGACAAGACTGTTTAAAACCCTGGCATTAAGAAGCCACAACATTTGCCAAGTTATTTTTTGCAATCATACACAAAATATCTATTCAAATTTTGCTGGACAGTGAGTTTTTTCCTACATTGTCTTTGATTTTTTTTTTCTTTCCACACTGTCATTATGGTCTGAGAATAAATATGACAGACATGAATACTAACAAGGAACACAGAAGATGGTCTAAAATATCTCCACCATCCACTATATCACCTTATCGATACCTGTCATAACACACATTTTGCAAACCGCGTTGAGAGGAAAGCTGGAAGACAAGAACTTGGGTTTTGTCTATAGATATTTTTCTTTGCCTTCGCTTTTCACAAACCGACAAGCAACACAGAGTATTTAAAAAATGTGTATCTTCATTTCTGACAGTTTCAACATATCTCCCGCACATCTCCTGCTAAAAAGTCAAAAATGAAATCTCTACTCGTAAATCTCATCATTCTGCCCAAGCTGATCTTATCAAACAGACAAATAATCAGAGCCACTGCCATAGATCCGGTACCTCCCGCCTTCCAACACGACAGCACACAATCTTTGAAAGACACAAACAAAAAAAAATGTGTTCCAAGAGATGCCGATGGCTAAAAAGGGATTTATTTCTCAAAGGAAAAAATTGCTTGTTTGAGCTGGACCCTAGTGATGCAAAGAGCAGGCTGACACAGTGATATCTGCCGTTCTCTTTATCTCCCTTTCAGATGATGATGAGCACGAATGGATCATTCGGACCTGCCGGAAAGCTTGGGATGAAACAATTGAACATAAACCGAAACCAGGAAAACAGTTTTTGCTAGACGATAATAATCCAAAGCAGGTAATCTGATTCACAATAAATCTAATTTGTCCTCATGGATTCGTCTCACCCTTTCCCTGTAACAGGAGTCTAATCTTTTTGTCATCTTTGTCAGCACAAACAAAAATGGAAGTAATCATTTAATCACTCACGCTGAGAAAAAGCCAGGGAAAAAAAGCAGACTGTACTCACAGTAATTTTCCTGAGGTGTGTAGTGCAGTATATATAAACGTTATTAAGCCTGAAAACAATTTGTTAAAAAGAGCGCCTCAGATGCAGTGTTGAAGTCATTCAAATCCATCTTAATCAACATTATTTTCCTGGATTTTAGTTAGCTGTCCTGGTGAATTCCTTTCCTCTCTTTTTGCTCAGTACTTTGATATTGATTGATCATTGTAATAATGTACACCAGAGGTATTCTTTAATGACTGGTTTGCTAACTAGGAAATTATATCCATTTACTACGAACGTTTGTTGAACTCTCCTGAAGCCAGAGTTTAACAAAATAATAAAAGAGGAAAACTGGGTGGGTTGCTGCTTGATTAGTAAGCCAGAAAGTATTTAAAAATAAAATGAAATGGAATTACATCATTTTCTGGATGTAAGTGCCAGCACTTCTACTTGCATTAACTTTATTTATTACACAAATAAGACATTTACAAAGCACAACATTAAAAGTATGTAACAAAACAGACATTGGTTTTACAAAAAAAGTGCTTACAATTTAGTTTTACTTTTTTTAAAATAAATATTAGTCTTGACTGTCCACTCATTCAGAGACTTTTTTTTTTAAAACCATTGTAGCCAAGACATGCAGAATTGCAACATGCTACAACAAAATGATTGGCGGATGAAATAAAACTGATGTGCCTATCGTTGGCATCCTACAGATATATCACTGGTAGTAGTGCAGGATTGGTTCTCTCTCCCCGTCTCAACTAGTAAGTTGTGTAAGCACCTTTAGCTCGGGCGTTGGGGTTAACCAGCATGAGCCAAAAAAAAAAAATAATTGGTAATAAAACTGTAAACCATTCCACTTTCAGACCCTAACTGTATTTAGTTACCTTACTAAACTCGAGGGAGGAGCCTTTCACTGGCTACCTTTGTCGGATTTTTGTCTGCAAAAGGTTTTGTAAATAGAAACTGGAAAAGTTTAGTACGTGGAGTCTGCATTGCTGCACCACAACCCATTTGGCAATTACTGAATAAACTAAGAAAATGAGAATGATCTTAATTTTTTTTTTCTTTAATCTACAGACAGGAGATGAATGCAAATGACCTGAGATAAGGTTTGGTTCAGTGGCAACAGTCAGTGTGAAATATGTTGTGAAACAATGTATTGAATAAATTAGAGGATTTCTTACATTCTTGGTACAGTTGAGTATTTTCCATACACATAATTAGCTCTAAAACTGCACAAGCTGAATTGCTTCCAGTTTTTGCAAACAATTTGGGCTTAATATAAACAGAGCCTGATTTCAGAACTAGCAAAGCTGCTCCTGGCTACTTATGGGGGAAGGTACCCCAGAGCTCGGTCTGCGGGCAGTGGCCAGTCCACGGCCACCAGAGACGAGCTCCCATGCTCCGGTGGCCTGCGGCTTTGCACGCCGGCCCTGTCAGTGGCATCAGTTACAAAATCGCTGATATACAGTACATTTCACAAGTGAGGGGTTGGGTTTTTTTGATCGGTAACTAAGTGGATATTTAGCAAATACGTATTTTATAGTTTCCCCTTTCGTTGCACCACCGAGACAGAAGAGAAACGCATCAAACCTTTTTCTGCCTCAACGAAAGAGTTGTGGAAATCTCAAGTACTGCGAGATGTCAGGTCAAGTTACCGCCTGAAGTCTCTCCTTCAGTCCTAAATGAAATAACTACCCATTCGTTTATGGCCCTAACTCCACAACTAAACGATCATTAGGATGCGCGAGCACAGACGGAGGAGAAAGTCGGACCCCGGTGACCCCACCGACCGCCACCAGTGTCTTAAAGCTGTCGCACACGGACGCAGCACCCCACAGCCACCTCAACAACCGCCTCGCCAACAGCCAACCGAGGTAACACCCGGCCCTCACTCAGCGCTACAGACAAGGGCAAAAGCGACTGCAACAGGTACAACTGGCAACTGCCCCCTCCCCAAAGGGACACCTCGGAAGCGCTGGCTCTACTCAGGCCAGGCCTGCGGGAGTGCCTTGCTGGGGGCTACACACTGGAAACGGTTATTCACACGTCAGGAGGCGGCATTAATACTTGGCGGACTTCATTTCCCCTCTCCTTTCAAACGTTATTTTACATTGGGGATAGAGCTGCTAGCTGCTGCCTGCAGTTAGACAGAATGCTGGCCTAACTGGCCAAGGTGCTACCATCACACTAGCTCTCTGTATTTTTAAATATATATATGCATACAAACACAGAGGGGTGTGTGTGTATATATATATATACACATGTATGTATATAATTTGTTCCAACAACTATCAATGCGTTCTTGTCCTCAGTTACTTCTCAAACCAAGAGATCTTGGTGGCCACCTCAGCAGCCATCTGCACCTCTTCCCGCTGTGCCCCGTGGGGTTGGAGGGGTGAGCGTGCCCCACTGTCAGCTGGGGCTGCATGTCCGGCCGTCGGTGTCACACGGAGCTCGGGGACACAGTCAGGAGAGGGCTCTGTGCACGCACGACGTGGGGCAGCCAGAGCAGTGGGATGGCTGCCCACCCGAATGATGCTGGAGATCGGTCCAGGAACTCCCAGAGAGAAAAACACACGTATCTACAGTTCGAATTAAAAACAAGTTATGTAACGGATGGATTCCCGTCTTCTGTTCCTCGGGCGCAGTTCAGTTGTGTTATGCACTAACTGTGGCTCACAGTAGGTTTTCGCATTCTCGGAAACGCGGCCTCGCAGACACTCAGCAGCAAGACAGACCCGTGTGCTTGCGTGGAGAAAGGTTTCGTTACAGACTTGCTCTTGGCTTGGTGCACACTGAGAAGGGCTGGCAAAGGTTACTTGTTTACTTTTTACTATTGCCGTCAATGAAGGACCATTTCAGGTTGTGTTGTTTTTTCCCTGATGGGGGCCAGACTGCTGAGCACTCCCTTTTGCTGTCGCGGCGAGCCCTGCGGTGCCTGCCCCGTGGCCGCAGTCCCGGGCTGCGCCTCCATCCGAGGGCTTGGCAGGGGCAGCAGCCGGACCCCAGCGAGGGAGAACAACGGGAGGGCAGGGGGAATCAGAGCGATGCTGCCGGATAAAGGAGTCTCCCATCACTTTGCTGTCCACTCCGCTAGCGACTCTTCCCGCTGGCCTGACTGCGGTTTTCACCTTTTTAACTGGTCTCTGGTTTCTACCCGACTCTTGCCACTGACTGAGCTTGGGTCCACACCAGGGCAGAACATTTCTACACCTTTATGGCCAGCTTCCACTGAGGATTTCCCAGTCCCAGAGTATGGAGTGGCTGAGAGTTTTGTGTAGGTACATTCCAAGGAAATAAAGTAGCTTGTTAATAAAGAGTAAAAAAAAAAAAATTTTAAAAAAAGAAGATTTGGCAGATGGCTGTGAGAGGAGAGAGATACTCAGTGTTCTAAGAACAAGTCAGCAATCAAAAACTTCAGGGTGCTAAACCTGGCTCTGCCACCAACCCCCACAGTTCCTCTCAGTTTAGGACATCTCGATTTCCCCTCCTATAAAACGGGGGGGAAAAAAACACTAAGATTTACTTACCTTAGAGTGATCAAAGGATATGTGATTCTAAAGCACTTTGAGGAGGAAGAAAAACTGCCTATTTCCGGCTGGCATCGTGTTTTCCACTTAGTGGAGTCTCAGCTACCCGCAAGTTTGGCTCGGGAAGGTCTGTGTATACATCGAGTTGCTGAGCCAAAAAGCCCGTTTCAGAATTTCACACATGCAAGTGGAAACAAGGAGGGATGTCCGGGAACCGACAGCGCTTCACTGGTGCAAAAAGAGAATCAGGCCAAACCACGTAAATTCCTCCTTCCTTTACGTTCAGAGGTGATCATCGACCCCCCCCCGAGACTCAGCATGTTCTGGTTCGTTCGTATTCCCATGGGTTTGGGAGCAAGATTTGCAACCCCAGTAGAGTCACTGATTTTGACTGTGTCTGGCATTGCCTTGGAGAGACTCGCAGCCATTCTACACGTCCACAAGAAACAAGTGAAAAATGTAACTCTGCACTCAACACACACATACACAGAGTGTCGCTGGAGAAATAATAGTGGCTGTTAGGTGCTGGTCAATGGAAATAACTGAGAGTGCTGGATCTGAGTTTCTCCTGCGTGGCTGGTAACGGTTGCCTCGGGCTGGACGCTGCGTTTCAGCGGCTGAGGGGCAGTGGTGCTGGTAGCGCCATGGGCAGATGAGGAAGAGCTCGTGCAGTCAGTACTGAAAGAGGATGACCTGAGCGGGAAAATTGGGGATCGAGAGTTAGCTGCTTTCAGGGACAGAGAGCCCTCGCGAGGGAAACGTGGTGTTTTCAGGGACTGACAGAACGGATGCGTGCCCTCGCTGTGGCAGACACTTCCCCATGGAAAAAAAACCAACCTTTGGAACCACCACCTGCCCACCCGGGAGCTGCCAGCCCTGCTCAAGGGACGGAGACCGCCAGGGAGGGCAGAGACAAAGGGAACGGGACGTGGCAGCACACAGACAAGAGAGAGGCGACTCCCTGGGCACACATTCAGCCATGACACCACACCGTGCTGAGCAACAGACTGAAACCAGCGTTTAATCTATTTGCTCTGCGATACGGCAGCCACCAAGAAAGGTGAAGATCATTCCCAACGATCCTTGGGAATGTCTACCTTGCTTGCTAACGAGCACAGGCTTCCCTCAAACCTCTACACCTCAGTGCTCTGCAAATCCCTTGGTCAGGAGAAGCAGGGAGCTGGTCCCCGCTCGGTTCTCGCACAGCGGCTGCACTGGGTACCCCAAGAGGAGCGGGGCTGTGAGCCCCGAGTGCAGAGCGAAGCAGAGGCTCAGCATTTACACGTGTCTTCCCAGGATCTCAGCTAT